AGAACAACAGTAAAATTACAATACTAACATTTATGAATGTTGATAAGAGTTCTTGCTTTTTCTCAACTTTTATTTTGGCGGAAATGCGCAGGAAGACCTCAATGCTTATTTTTGTTGACAAAAATTCATAAAATGTGACTGAGCAACTGACGACTGTATCAGCGCCGATTTTCCTCGCGCTTTGGACTTTGAACCCTGACTAATGAGCAGATAGCACCGCGAGCTCGTGCAGCGCTGTCAGAATACATGCAATGCGCGCGTGTATTAGCAAACACCGAAAGAGCTTTTTTTGCTATTTTCGGCCGAATAATTTCGGTTGCTGAACATTCTGTGCATCCCTAGTCAAAATTCAAACACGGTAGCAAATTGAGCTTGCTCTTCCAGACTGTGCACTAACTGTTTCACCATTCAAATACTTGAAAATATAACACACATAGCGGTGACTATTTACTAGGTTCTAAAGCTTATTGCCCATCTGCTGTCTCCAGTGCTTCAGACCTTGAATTCACTTAGTGAAAGCTACACAAGCAAGGACAGTTGTCTTTTCTGACACATTAGGGATCAGCAGAGTAAAGCTATGTGGTTAAGCAGTCGAACACTAAATTGTGAGTAATGACATCCTTCAAAGAGCCATTCCAAAGTCCCCTCCTCTTCCATTGTGCTGTCAAAGACGTCAACATAAATATTTTCCCACATCCGAAATAAAAGGCTTTAAAGTGCCTTTTCATTGAACTAAATAGAAAGCTAGCCTCTTTCCCAGCCCACATGATCACAATAAAAACCCACCGCTGACACATGAAAACACACAAGCAAGTCAGATTTGCACCAGCAATTCTGAGTAGGAAGTTTTTAGTGTTAATTGGTATAAACAAAGTCATAGGAGATGATTTTTGCATTCGCCTGGAGACGTCTGGCGTCATCTTAGAAAACACTTTGTAGTTTAGCTGATTAGCAGTCTTTAGCCACCCATGTGCAGTTGCCAGAGATTTCATCATGATGATATTGAAAATTTCTTGATCAGGGATCTTGGCAAAGTAGATGATAAAAGCAGCGTCTTGTTATTAAGTCGAATTCTTATATTCACGAGGTAGGAAACATTTTTTAGGCTTTTAGCCTTTTTATTTAGAAGCAAGTGAATGGACTTTTTCTGTTCTCACTTATCTAATGCTCTTGCCACTTTAATAATTAACCCTTACAAATGACTCCTGTCCTTTTATGTTATAAATTAGCCAGAACAAAAATGGGCAACCAAAAGGATGAAATAAAGCTGTCATTAAAATACTGTGGAATGAAATAGGGCTTCTAGCATCACTTGATGGCCCTCTATATGTTAAGATGCAAATGTCATGTCTAAGAAAACGTCTCGAGGTTACGTATGTAACCATGGTTCCCCGAAGGGAACGAGACACTGCATCGAACGTCACGAGTGGGGTGACGTGAGCAACCAGGAAGCATAAAGGCGCATCCGGCAAGCGCACATGTTAGCTTCTGCGGAAGCGAGCGCCTGCAGGGACGCAGGGACGCAGGGAGTATGGCAGGGAGACGCAGAGTCTCATTCTCTTCGGGGAACCATGGTTACATATGTAACCTCAAGACGTTCCCCTTCAGGAACTCGAGCTGCGTTGAACACTTTGGGAACGAGAATACCCACTGCGCCATACGAGCAAGTCCCTGTCTGGTGTATATCTGGCAAGCACATCAAGACGAGAGAACTTGGGACCCTGGGGTAGATGTCAGGTCCAGGCTGTAGAAACGGATGAATGTGTGCGGAGAGGATCAGCCTGCTGCAGCATCTTGAAGGGCCACGCCCACTGATAAGGCCTTGGAGGCCGCCATACCCCTAGTCAAGTGCGCTCTGACCCCTGTAGGTGACTGGAGGCCAGAGGACTCATAGGCCAGCATGATGGTCTCAACCACCCACCGACTCAGGGTTTGCTTGGTTGCTGAAACCCTTTCTTAGGTGGCTAAATAAACGAATAACTGATCTGCCTTACGCCACTGGGCAGCTCTGTGAACGTAAGCGTCAAGTGCTCGCAGTCCTGGCCTGCTTCCTGGAAGGGAGGAGGACAAAAGGCTTGCAGTACAATGGGACCCAGCGAGGAAGTGAGCACTTTAGGGACATACCCGGGTCTCGGGTAAAGAAATGCCCTAGCCATGCCCGGGGCAAACTCCTGGCACGGTACAGAGAGTGCCTGAAGGTCCCCTATCCTCTTCAGCAAGGATATACTGTACATAATTAATAGTCTTATAAGTATATCTTTAGCTAGTGTAAATACAGCAAGCTTGGGCAAGCTTTGGGCAAGTCACTGCAAACTTCAGATGCTGTTTGGTTTGAAAATCAACACAAGTTTAATGGGATATGATTAGGGCTGCACGATATTTGAAAAAACTCACATTGCGATATTTTTTTTTCTGCGATATATATTGCGGTATGAAAAAAAAATCAGATGACTTCAATATAGCTCTAAAAAAAATCAATGATTGGGGTGATTTTTAGGTGAGTAAATCAGCATAGGAAATAAACAAATTACAAGCATAGATAAATAACAGAACGTCTCGGTTACGTATGGTAACCCTCGTTCCCTGAAGGAGGGAACGGAGACGTCACGTCGTGACCGACGAATTGGGATATCGCTTCGATAGACCAATCTACTTCGAGTGTAAACTAAACGAGCCAATGCACATTGGCATGCAATTATTGCATCCAGCTGCCGCTGATCACAGCGTGAGTATAAGTAGGCAGCAGATGCAGCGCATATTCAGGTTTTCGCTGAGGAGCCGAGCCGGTGACCCGGCCGCTCAGTGAACCAATATACTGTTCCACATCCATTTTCTTTCTCAGTTGTTTACCTTCACCTAAGCTATAAGCATCTGTGTTTACAAGGAGAGCATAGTATTTCAGGCACAAATAGACGCAAAAGTGAACAGAAATCAGTGTTCACGTGCATCTGCGTGGCTCTCACAGTGTCGTGCGACGCGACAAAATACAATAGAACCCATTATAATCAGTGATGCTGTGTGACTGACTACACTGGATGCGGCGTGACACGACAAATCCCCGACAGTAAACTGATGCCTCGTTCTATTTATGACTGACTACACTGGATGCGGCGTGACACGACAAATCCCCGACAGTAAACTGATGCCTCGTTCTATTTATGACATACTGACACAAAGTTCAAATGATATGCAACGGTCACTTTGTCGTGTCCAGTGTAGACAGACTTTGGGGCCGTTCACATGTCGCGCCTAAAACGCGTGGAAAACGCCAGTCGCTCGGCTTTCTCCTTCTTTCCAAAGCGCTTGGAAGCTTGCGCTTTCGTGGCGTCTGCCATAGCTAAGCGACCGTGACCTGCGCTCTCCGTTTCAACAAAGGATAAATGGATTTCCAGCACTGATAATCCCTTGCAGTAGCTCTGCTACTAAATTTATTTAAAATGGGTATATCTGTACAGCTGTCGCGTCCAGTGTAGACACCGTGTCTGTGTGTGAGCAAAGAAAACAATCAGTAAAAATATAACGATCAGTATACTAAACATCGCACATCCTGCGATGTGACTATTGCAGATGCCCACATCGTGATATCGATGCTGAAACGATATATCGTGCAGCCCTAGATATGATGCTGATCTTGCCTGGGGATCTTGATTCTTTAATGCTTTAGTTGAAGCAGGAAACTGGAAATGTATACCTGCTCGCTCCTACATCATATTGTATGAAGAGAATTAATGAATTTGGATTTTGGTTTCCATAATTCTTCCTGCAGGTTTGTACTATGACTGATTTTGACCCTTGAGTCAAAGAGAGAATTACGTTCTTCCATCAGTTATTCTTGGCTAAAGCCTCCTTTTGTAATGAAATATTAATGTTTAATTCAACCTTGCATGATGGGAAATGGGTTCCTCGGCTGAGGAGCTACTCACATTTATTAAACTAAAAGCCACACAATGAATTCTGATAAATGGCTAATGCAAAGTTAAAAAAGGTGATCACATAAATATCAACCATGGCTCTCATTTAGCAATGTGTACATCTTCTCAAGGAAAAGTGGAATATTGGAAAACCCAGCAGAGCTTCTTCTGCCAAGCTTGACCTTTTCATCAGAGAGACGGAGAGGTACTGTATGTGCAGTCCTCCAGTTCTCCATAGAGTCCCTTTCTTTTCGAAGTTAAACTCCAGCCAGTCAACAGGAGAATATTGTGTGTTATGTGTAGTGAATTTTTTTAAATAATTATTTTATGCATTTAGCAGACGCTTTTATCCAAAGCGACTTACAGTGGATTCAGGCTTTACATTTTTGTACCAGTATGTGTGTTCCCTGGGACTCGAACCCATGACCTTTTGCGCTGCTAACGCAATGCTCTACCACTGAGCCACAGGAACACATGAATGTGAATAAGTCGTAATAGTTGATGCATTTATTCCATGAGCCATTGTTATAATTATCCTCCAGTCTTGGCTCTGAAGTGTGTCAAGCTGAGGGCAACCTTGAAAGCATTTTTACATCATTTGAATGTGTCATTAGAGTTGGGAAGTTACTCTGTGAGTCTCCGTTCCATTGAATCAACCCTTTGCCATGCCATCTGGCAGTCAAACAGGACTGGCTGTATTACCATCCCACAATACCCTTCTTCTTTCCTGTCTGTGCAGGGTTTGCTGGAATTAGACACCAGCAAATAGAAACAATTCTTAGAATTCTTGGCCTGCAGAATGATGTCATAACTGCTGCGTATTTTATTCCATGAGTAATTTATTAACAGAAATAAAAGAAAAGAGAGAAATCTGGCAGAGATCATGCCCAGTGACTGGGGTTATCATCCAAGAATGTATTCCTCTTGAGATACTGATTGGGATATATTATGCAGAGAGTTTCTTTTCATGCCCCACTTATATATGCAGTTTTAAATGAGTAAAAATATCCTGCAAGGCACTAATATTATGCATTTGTGCTGTTATTAGCTGGTTTACTTTGTGAATGTAAATGGACTCTTTTAAATGTTTATTCTGTTTTTTTTTATGTACTAATGTTTATCATGTGCAGCTCCTGGTGACATTTTCTTATTTGTAATGTTTTAATGTTTGCTTTCTAGCAAGAGTTTTAGGTTTTGAATGTACCTGGCTTAACTTATTTAAGGCTTATTATTAGGTCCTAGCTGCATTTCCGTCAATGTGGACACATCTGTTTTTGTTTTGGGGAGGCAAAATGTTGTCTGGGAAAGAACTTCATGGCTTGTTTCTCTCTCTCTCTCTCTCTCTTTGTATGTGTGTGTGACTGGGGAGTTTACATCTGTGTTGTTAAGAGGTCATCCCCATGGGCCATTCCATGCTGGAAAACAAAGCGTAATAGGCAATAGAAGTGGCTCAGTGTCTCTGTGTAGTCATCAAATATGACATATCCCATCATCCTTCAAGCTCCCTGCACTCACTGAAACGTAATGGGCAGTATTTGTGAAGGATATCACACCACATGAGGTTTTCATCCTCATGAATGAATCATAGACATTCATTCTTTCACTTTCATGGTGTCCTGTGAAAGGCTGAGAGAAGGCCTTTGAGAGCTGAACCCACTGAACTCACTGAAACTGTTTTTATATTATATTTACAGCATAAACAACAACAATATGTATGCATGACAGGAAAGTGCTCTCCTCTTTCCCCTCTTGACTGTAAAGGATATTGTTCTTTGAGACAGTGGTGAGATTTAGAAGTCAAATACCCTGTCAGTTTCATGCATATGTGAAACAATGTCATGACAGCTTGAGTACACTTCAGATTTCTATGATAAGCACAATACACTTAAACAGTATCACTTGAGCAAGAGTGCTGTTGTACTGAATATTGTATTATCTGTGTCTATGTGCCTATGGTCGTATCACAATATGGATATTTAGTAAAACAGCACAAATGTGAATTTGGTATTGTTTTTATAAATCAATAAACAAGAGTTAACTTCAATTTGCCTGACTGCAACCCTTCTTTTTAATGTTTTGTTCCTCTTCCGATATTTTCCTGTTTTGTTTTTTTTAATCTGGCATCTCTCTCTATCTACTGTATAGTCGATCTGCTAATATCCGTCCAGTGCACTCACTGAGCGTTCTTCTCCCTATCATTACAAGACACGCCCCTTACTGCTGATTGGCTGCAAGTGTGTTTTGGGACTCGGTCCAACACTGTGGTCATGAACTGCCTCTGGTTTTTTATTTTGTACTGTTCTCTGAGGTCCACTTATAATGTTATCAAGATTTTTACATCAAAAACATCATAATTTAGAAGTAATAGACTATTTTCTGTCCTATTTTTGTTTCCTGTTTCAGACTCTGAAGTAAATGCCCACTGCTATTATTGGTGCTATGACACTGCTGTGATTTAGATAAAAAAACGCATAAATACTCCTGGGTCATTTCCACAAAATCGGTTCCTTTTGCGTCCCTAAGAAATAATCAAACATATCTTTAATATAACAACCAATAAGTTTGCAATTTAAAAACATAACGATACTATATATTCTTTCATCAATATTACATAAAAAAAGTAAATTAATTATTATTTTAAATAATTTAAATAGCATTTATGCTGATAAGGGTAAGATTGTTGGGCTTTTAATTTGCAAAATGAAGGCAAAATGATATAAAAATCACATTTGCATATTGTTTTAAATATAGTCTCATTGTTAAGCAATGTTTTTGGCACAAGTATGCATTTTTTTTCTATAAAATTTAAATCTTTTTATTGGTGTCCCCTGATTTCATGTCAGCCCTGTTACCCTCATCAAAAAAACTTGTAAAATAATGTACATTTAAGTGACATCACTTCTAGGCGGTTACATCGTCTCTCAAGCAGGATTCCTGCACTTAAAACACAAGCATGCTTGGGGGGGGGGGCATACTGTGCAGTGTCAATACTGCTACCATTTTTAAAATGTAAATGAAAACAATTATTACATTTAATATAATCAATATCTACAAGTAAAATCCTTTCAAAGTGGACAACATGTGCTTTTGTGAACTTGACTGTTAGCTAGAAATTAGCAAATTAGTTTGAAATCGTCAAACCTCTTACTGTCATCCCTGTTACTTTTCAGGGTAACATGTTTTGACATGTGGGTAACAGGGATGACATAGATTACTGTAGGTGTCACCCTGTTTTTAAAGATTGTCTGTGAAAAATGCAAACATTTTTAAAGGTCACCCTGGGTGTAATTTTAAGCTAATGCCTATCATTCAGTGGCATATGAGCATGAGTTACATTTTAGTTAGTATTATTGGTATTGTTACTATTACGGTTGTTGTTAATGACCAGGATCAGTCTCAATAAAACTCTTTTTTTCCCCATAACTCATTGTCAATAATGCATCCGTGTAAATTCAATTACAAACAAGAGCAGCAAGATGACTGCAGACCTTCACCCCAGTCTTGCAATGTTCAAGAAAGTCAAGATCTTGATCTGATCATCTTCCTTGCTTGATAATTGAACCAGATCAGTTTATTTGAAATTCTGTGAGGGGGCATAGACAAACAGATGGGCGCAGTATCTAATTACAATACCCTTGAAACATTAGATCTTTTAGAAATGTAATGTGCTAAATCAACAATGAACTGACTTAAACTGAAAAATTGACTTGTTTACTATTGTCATACAACTATGCTAAGTGACCATACGTCCCGGACATGTCCTCTTTTTGGACCTAAAAAATGCGTCCGGCCGGGATTTCTTAATCGTCTAAAATGTCCGGGATTTGGCTGTTTTCTTAATCTCGCTCCCGCTGAATCTCTGACCATTGCCGCCTGCTCCCGCAACATGTGTTTCGCTCCCGTGATTTTCGTGTCCACTCCTTGAAACATTCTAATATTGTATATGATTTTGGCGCATCAGGGAGCCGCTCTCAGTATGCGGAGTATTTAAATCACTTTCACTTTCGCGATCACACGCACTCTGTGTAAAGGGAGCACATCTTACAAGATCAGATATTTGTCAATGAGCTCAGTATCTGTTGAGCAGCAAATACTCCAGCATGGTCTTGTCAGTAATTTCTCCTTATTCTTGACCTAAGATCAGTCAAATCTGACTCCTGCAGCTCTTCTTGAATGCAGGGTTGCCAAGTCCGCGTTTTTCCCACATAATTGGGCTACCTTTAAAGGGATAGTTCACCCAAAAAGAAAAATTATTTCATTAATTACTCACCCTCATGTTGTTCCAAACCTGTAAGACCTCCGTTCATCTTCGGAACACAAATTAAGATATTTTTTATGCATTCTGGGAGCTCTCTGACCCTCCCATAGACAGCAAGGGTCCTTACACGATCAACGTCCAGTAACGTAGCAAGGAGATCGGTAAAGTAATCCATGTGACATCAGGGGTTCAACCATAATTTTACGAAGCTACGAGAATACTTTTTGTGCGCAAAAGAAAAAAAAAACATTATGGTTGAACCCTGAACCCCAATTGACATGTGGTCACCCTCCAAAATTAGGATGTTCTTGGTCATCTGAATGACAAATATAAAAATATTAAAAAACATCCAAACCATTAGGTACGACATCCACGGTTCAATACGTGCTTGTGAATTGCGGTTTTTCAGTTTTGCCTTTAAATAATATCTGTGTCACGTATCCGGTCCATGAACTTCCGTCTGCTAGCCATCAGAGGTCACCCTTTCCATTTCATTGACTCTCGCGCTACACACTGTTGCATATCACCCCGGACTACATATCCCATCATTCATTACACTGATTGCACACAGCACTGTGTGTTTTATTTCTCTCAGAATTGGCTCAGTGTGTGTGTCCCCGTGAGTCAGGGTTGCCAGGTTTTCACAAGAAAACCCACCCAATCACTACTCAAAACTAGCCCAAAACTAGCCCAATCGCGTTTCGAGGGGGTCCCCAGTCAAAAATCGCGTTCCGGGGGGTAAAATACACATTTTTTGGTGGGGTTCCCCTGCTAAAATTCGCATTCCAGGGGATAAATATCATGTTATTGGAGTTGCTTCAACCTGCGGACATGAAAAACAACCCCCGGCAACAGTGTTAAAGTAGCCCAGTTCAGCGGGAAAACACGTTTTTTTACCTCTCTCAAATGAAATGTTAAGCAGACATATAGTAATCCACGCTTTTTCCAGTGTACAGAGGTTTACAGGAGTTTTTTGTTGTTAATTTGTTGCAAAAAACACTCTGATGTGCCAAGCTATCAGAACCGAACCGAAAACCGTGCTTAAAAACCGAGGTACGGATTGAACCGTGGACTAACTGTATTGTTGCATCCCTAGTATCTAGTAACGCTTGTGTCGGTAACAGGGTTGACAAAAATACCAAACACGGGGTAGAAAAATTGTCATAAAATAATAAATTACATAGCCTGAGATGGCACCATACAATTTATTGTCATTTTAAGGTGTATTAATTTCATGGATATTTAAAAAATGTTTATTAAACTTATTTTATTTTTAAATTTTTCCAAGTGGAAAAGGCACCAATTTCGTGGAGTGACCCTCCAATCAAACGATCTCCTTAACAGACAAAGCAATAGTGATCACGATAAAAACAGTTACTCTTAAAATTAAGTGAACAAAGGACCAAGTTCTTACTGACGTGGTCTGGAACTTAATTAAAAATAAAGTTCATCCACATTGGGATCAGAAGGAAGGCAATACAAAGACTGTTTTTTCCACATCTTGGCACTGCACAGCGTTGTCTTTGGAGCATCTTTATCGGTTGGTTTCTGCGTAGACCTGCTCGTTCGCCTCTCTCGTAAACACTACATGCGCAAATCAGTGGGTGGGGCTAAACAGGCAGTGATGTCGAAGCAGGCGTTTATCTTTTTCTGTGGAGGCAGTGTTTAGCCACACTATTACATCATAGAGTCGTACATTCCACAAGCTGTTGTTTTGGCAGACTGGCTTCAATATAAGCTGTTTTAGACTAATGAGAAAGTTTTGAGTTCTGAAACTTACAGGATGTTTTTATAGTACAGTGACCTCTTTTATGTCAAAAGATCAAGGGAATTTTGGTTTCTCAGTTCATGACCCCTTTAACAGTTTCAAAATATGGCAAAACATCAAGCCTTTCCTTTTTTTAAGAAATTAAAACTTATTCAGCATGGATGTGCTGTGACTGTCTATTGTTAATTAATTATGCTGTTAAATGAGACATTTTCTGTTGGAGACTTGTGAGGCCAAAACTACAAATCATACCTCATTATCAAACATGACAGCCCAGGGTTTTCCATGCATTGAAAAGACTTGAGTTATTGAACAGCCAGAATGGACTCTTACCAGTCCAGTTTATGATCCACAGTTGGCCAACTGCATGTATTTTATTAACAGCTGTGAACATAAATTTCATACAGTATTTTTATTTTTAAATTCATAGACATCTTTGGACATTCTGTTCCTGTTGATCCTGAACTACAGAACCATTAAGAATAGAGACATTTTGACATTCAGTCTGCATTCGTTCTGAACTGCAGGCCAGATGACATGAATGGGATAATAATTAAAACTGATTTGTGTCCTAACTTCATTCACTGTGGAAGAGAATAAATTTACACCAGACATCACAGATGGCATCAAGTCTCAGTGGGATAAAGAAAATAATTTCTCTCTCTCGTCTTGATGGGTTCAGTGTTTTTGATAGCTGAAGAGTAGATTCTGTTTTATCTGATGTCTTATGAGACTTTTCAGCATAATATAAGCTCTTTTGTTAATGCACGGAGACCCTTTGAACAATAGACAAAGATAAGAATTAAGATCACCAGAAGATATTTAGAGTCACAAGTAAAAGTTAAAGTTAAACTTGACAGTCTCAAATAAGGCCAACAAGCGTGTTCTTGAAGCCCTCATACAGTAAGCCCCCTGCTGTCGTACTCGGCTTTAGGAGGGTGATGTTTGCTAACTCAGCTACTCTTATTTACAAGAGTTTTCTTATGTCCTAATAAAGAGTTAAAGTAGCTCCCAGCACATTAGATCACAGCTAGTGGTGTTATCCCTGAGCGCCAAGTGGAAGAATTTCACCAAAACTGCCTCCTGCAGCATCTTTTGATCCCGATGCTGTTTGTTATTAGCAGTTGCCTGCTAATTGTTTATGCTTCCAGGGAAGGAAAACCACCTTCACGCATAAAAGAGATGGTCGTTAATCCTAACACAAGTTTTCTGTGAGGAGAGCAGAGGGAACCTATATTCTAAACCGAGATAGAAGTGGAAAAAGCAGTGAAATCCAGTCATACTGCTCTTGTCAGGATACACTGCATTGAAGCCTTTTATATCCTTGTTTAAAAATGTAATTGGATTCCTAGGTGGTTTTAGCATGCCCAATTTGTTTAACAAATAACGTCAGAGTAAGCGGATTTCATGATGATAAAGGAGCCGTGTACTGTCAATTCAATTAGTTCATTTTGTCCCACTAAGAATTCTTTCAACATGACAGCATGTGCAATTTTACATTAAAAATAGTATACATGTAATCATGCAAAATTGCGCTTTTATGTAAACTCCTAATCTTTTAAGTAGACTTTTGCTCTGGGAGAAAAATTAATTTGATATTCAGCACTGTGAAATATGGGGAGGCCATGTGGTAATTGTGTTAGTAGCATTAAAAGTATGTAAAACCAAAGTGTTAAAACTCAAGGTGTTCCGAACGTTTCTTTGTGTCATCGTTTTAAAAGATGCCATTTATGCGCATCCAGTTTCTCCTCCACAGCAGTCTACAGCCTCCTGAGTTTTTATTGTTCAGAGCGAGGCTGGCAAGGCTAACCCACAGTCGTGGGTCATGTTTTACAAGTGAAGAATCGAAATGAGATAAGAGTGGAGGTGAACACAAGCACACACACTTGTTTGGTTTTTGTCATGGTGGGGACCTTCCTTTGACTTTGGTTGTTTATACTGAGGTAATGACATTTTCGGTCCCCTAATCCTAAACCTGAAAATGTTTTTTTTTATTTTTTTTTATACATTTTTCAGAAATACATTTTTATTATGTTTATTAATCCATTTTCCTTTGAGACCTGGTAAAACCTAACTGGAAAAACTTTCTTATTTATTAAAGGGATAGTTCACCCAAACATGAAAATTATGTCATTAAATACAAACCTTCATGTCATTCCAAACCTTCGTTCATCTTCAGAACACAAATAAAAATATTTTTGATGAAATCCGAGAGTTTTCTGACCCTGCATAGACAGGGACCTTCCTTTGACTTTGGTTGGTTATACTGAGGTAATGACATTTTCGGTCCCCTAATCCTAAACCTGAAAATTTTTATTTTTATTTTTTTTTATACATTTTTCAGAAATACATTTTTATTATGTTTATTAATCCATTTTCCTTTGAGACCTGGTAAAACCTAACTGGAAAAACTTTCTTATTTATTAAAGGGATAGTTCACCCAAACATGAAAATTATGTCATTAAATACAAACCTTCATGTCATTCCAAACCTTCGTTCATCTTCAGAACACAAATAAAAATATTTTTGATGAAATCCGAGAGTTTTCTGACACTGCATAGACAGCAATGCAATTACTACATTCAAGGTCCAGAAAGGTAATAAAGACATTGTTAAAATAGTCATCACATGGACTATTTTAAGATGTCCTTACCAGTGTTAATTTCGTTGACGAATAATTTTCGTCATAATGTTCGTTTTTTTCACTGACAACAACGAGACGATAACGAACTAAAACTCTTTTTGAATGACAAAAACTATGACGAAAATATATTGACATTTTCGTCAACGAATAAAAACGAGACAAAAATGTTAGGAAGGGACGATTTGGGAAGAGATTCATTCAATTTCAGAATGAATCTGCTGCGTGGTTAGGAGGTTAGATGCGTACATATGAACGTTCGGGACATAAGCTAAAATACACTTGCTGCACGTCGCATAAAACGTTCAAAAATGTCAATATGTGGGAGTAAGAGAAGAGCAGACATATAGATAAATCTGACGATGCAAGAGAGAGCTCAATTCGGTCTGGTTTTCTGAGCGCAGACACTGAAGCATACACACACAGAAAGCGCGTCTCATAGCACGCGAGTACTCTTTCGCGTCGCATGAACTGAGAATTACACACAAAATTATGTCGAATTGTCCGTTTTGACGAGTATTCACATAAACACAGTTGATTACGTCTTAAAGGGGTCCTATTATGCTTTTTGGATTCGCCAAAAGCTTTTTGCTGAAAGACGGAGCAAGGGGCGTGACAGTACTGAAACACCGTCTAAGCTGTTCGCCAATCACAACGCACTGGGACAGCTAACCAATCACAACACATT